TCGCAGAGGGATGAAGCCAAAAATAGGCCACCTTTCGTTTTCGGAGTCGACAACATCCTTCTCGTCTTCGACCGAAGCGTCTAATTATACATAATAACATCGGCCAAAGTACTTCTCACGTATGACATCATTTCAGTTACGACAGTCGTTTGCTCCCTTACATTATATTCCATTGTTACAATAATGAACGACGGTAGCAAAGTGGATCAACAATACCGTTCGACCGACATCGATTCGTCTTCGCTGCTCCCGAGCCGCTCCAACAAATCGAGAGATTCAAACTTTCGCGTAACAAAAACATAACATTGACGGCGAATTTGGAGCAGGCTGTAAATACAGGACGTTGCAAGTTTATTGCGCGTCGTTTATAACCGCCGCCAATCACGCCAGCATTGGAGCATATGGTTCTTTAGATCGAGAGCGTGATTGGTTAATCGTTTTACGCACGTTTTATATAAATCAAAAAAAATGTAAGCTTTATATCATACGAAAATAAATCTTCCCTGTACTTAGAAGAAAAAACTATTTCATAACTTTGATATACACTTTTTTTGATATTAGGATCTTTATTTCTAAATAATCGTCTCAGATGTAATTAATTGTTATAAAATCTGGGATATCTCTGTAGAGTTCGCCAAACGATCCCGACCTAGTCTCTAAGTTCAATTTTACAAACTATATCGACTATATACTCCGTGCCAGAGACGATCATTGAATTCGATGATTACAACCAGATGTCATCCCAATCGCTGATCTTGTAACGCGAATGATTCTATCATTCTCATATAAATTTCAAAATACTACTTTAATATTTAATCCGCGTTTCAAATAATATTCTGATATCAAATATGACCACAATAAAATTAAGAAAATTAATATTAAAGAGTTTTGTTACTTTTTTTTTACTAGAAGTTTTTACGGAGACTTGATTGGATATAATATAACACCGCTGGAGAATAATACAACGCCGAGTACATTTATATTTATTACTGCCACTATTTTATTATTGTATATGCTCAAAGATGGTAAACATGTAACAACCGCCACGTTGTACTTAAGCTATTCTTATTTACAGTGGATTAAAACTATTTTAAAAGCCAAATTAGATTACACATAGATTAGATTATTCTAAACAAAATTTAAAACGTGTCTCAATAGGAATAGATTTCGGCATAAATAGTAGATCGCGTAAACATATCGATTAGGGTGACAAGTAATGTACAAAGATTATGTCAAAATGGAGTATCGCATATTTGCTACGGACGTTCGGGCGCAAATATCTCGTGCGCACGACTTGGTGTTACGTATTACATGTACGAAAGTGCGCGTGTGAGAAAGGAAAGGAAACCATTGAGCATAGTCCTTATACATCTTGCCCCTTATCTCTTACGGTCGTTAGATCCACTGCGACGAGAACGAGATCGACGGCTGTGGCTGCCACTGCGAGAGCGTTTTGATCTGGAACGAGAAAACATTCGGGAAGAACACCATTAGAAAGACGTTCGCACTCCGATAGCTGCATTTTATTCTAATTTCAATTCATTCAGATTTGAAAGTGGATCTAAGTTGATTCTACTCATTTGCAGCTCGCTGCGGATCAGAAAGACGTGAAATTCACAAACCTTCTTCCACGACTGCGACTGCGAGATCGTGACTTTCTCCTACCGCTGTCCCTGCGTTCCCGATCACGCTCGCGATCGCGCTCGCGATCGCGGTCCCGATCACGATCGCGCTCGCGATCGCGTTCGCGGTCACGGTCGCGATCGCGATCACGGTCACGGTCGCGATCGCGGTCCCGATCGCGGTCACGGTCGCGATCTCTGTCGCGGTCGCGGTCTCTGTAGCCCAATCCACCGCGGTTCCTGTCCCTGTCGCGGTCTTTGTCGCGGTCCTCCCTGTCCCTGTCGCGTCTTCTGTCGAGCATAGACTCGCGCTTCTCCTTGCGCCTCTCCTCGACGGTCTTTTGCAGCTCGGCGAGCTTCTCGCGGATTTTGATGAAGCCCAGATGCAGCTTCCCGCCGAAGTGATCCGCCAGCCGTCTATCATTGTCGTGTATTCCGAGATACGCGCTGCAAACCTCGCACACCCTCAGCTTCTGCTGCTGATAGCTCGACGCCGGCATGCTGTTTCGATACTCCTGCTCCGCTTCGTTCTTCTTCTTGCGCAGCTCGTCGATCTCGCCCATCAGCTTCATCGACTCCTCGACAAAGCCCTCCTCGCCGAGCTGCTCGGCCTTGGCTAGTTTCTTACCGATCTCCTCGGCGAGCACGTGTACGTTGTTCGCCTTCGCCGCCACCTCCGCGCTCAGTTCCTCCTGCGTCTCCGCCAGTCGCTGTTTCGCCTGCTCCGTACGGCGGTCGCAGTCGGCGATGAAATTCTGAAGGTGCTCCATTGCCTGGAAATTTGAGAAAAAAAATTTCGCGTTACAATTTTCATCGGAATTCTGGAACTTTGCAAAATGATCGTCGAATGTAAACTGCGAACGATCGTTGCAACTTCAATCGAAGAAACTCATCGACGGGCAAATTATATCAAATGTATTATAAAATTACAGGGATAATTTGCAACATCAAAATGCGATGAGATTTTAATACTCACGTCAATGTCATAGAAGTGATCCCTCTTCTTTTGCGCGGCCTCGTAGTCAGCCCGTAGGGCCAAGTCGTGAATCTGGGGGCATTCTCCCAGGTCCATGCGCTACGATTTACAAATCAAATCGATTATTAGATTTACGGTCCCTCCGTTCGTACGCGGGCCTTATCGATTCTATGCGTTATACGAGTTAGAGACCCTTCCCAACATTGCGTATTAACGAGATACTTCTTACTTTTACAAGAATATAACGTACTTGGCCGCGATGGTCGCGACTGGAAAATGTATAGCACGAATCGATAAATCTAGGAGAGAGTCAGAGATGATGAGAGACAAAAATTCTGAGCTTATATATATATATATATCGCCTGTATCCTTAGGATAAGACGGTTCCAATAGGTTCATCTTTATTCTTTTTTTTTTTATTATTGTTCTTTTCATATTCTTTTTTACGTGAACTGACGGAAACGTAAGTTCGTCTTCCTGCACTAGGCTAGGATATAGAGCAATAATGAAGCGATCGAGATCGCCAGGCGATCTCTGAGTATCGCGTGTAAAAGTAGAAATGCAGTTTGTACAGATAAATAGTTTGTTGTTTTCACTTACAGGGTGGCAACAGTTCTCCGCCTGACAGAATGCGATGGCAATGAAGCTATAATCAGCACACACCTTAAGTTTCATAATGTTCACTTTTTTTCTACGAAAGAGAACTTACATAGCCTATAATGATTTAATATACTATTTTTACGTACGACACGGAATCGTGTCTTACGTGTTGGCTGCTAAACGAATTTCTTTTTTAGAAAAAAAAAAAACGGATTCAATACGTACACATCCAATGGTTGAAGGAAATTTTTCTAACTGGCGCTTGTTGTACTAATCCGCCTAATCACACGTCTCTCTGCGTCATGCCACCTCTCATATTTTCTCTTGCCGAGACACGTTTGGATGTTGCAAATTGCCAAAGGTATTAATAAGTATTCGCGCGAAGAACTATATATACGAGTCCGAGGAACTTTGGTTAAAAATCTCCTTAATCGCGATTGCATTTAAGGCCGCGTGTTTCCACATATATATATATATATATACATGTATATATATATTTATTTAAAAAATCTATGTTAATCTCAAAATCTGTACAATTCGTTCGCACTGTACGGAATCGGCGCGCGAGAAGCGTAAAATTCGATCGAGCGTAAAATTTTTCTTTTGCTTTTGCAATTGTCAGAATGAAATCAACAACGGAGGTAAAAGATCCTCCCCTAATGAAAATCTCTCTCGCGCGAGGAAAGAAACCAACAGCGAGTGAATGTCAGAGTAAGGTACTTGGCAATTCGCAAATCTTTTACTTACAGATCACTGCTTCATTTCCTGCACCCATACCTCCACAGGATGATATATATTTTCTCACACACATTCTCAAAGTAAACTTCTCATTCCTACCTGCCGTAAACGGCATTATTAGTAAGAAGCGACATTAAGACATCGTCTCATGAATCAGCATGACGCTACTCACCGAGCTCACTGTTTACAGGCCTTTTCGGGGGAGGGTTCTGGGAATTTATTCTTTCGGCAATATTACTCAGCCTCACCACCGTGCGGAAAAAAAATCGGTAGAGGGGCTGAGGTAACCGCCCGCCTTTACGTCTCTCGTTATCGAATTAATGTATATATATATAGATATATATAGATATAGATATAGATATGCATATATATATGTATATCTAGCACTTGAAATTATGGTAAAGGTAAATCAAATTGTAGGTGTAATACGTACGTCCTCTTCTCGTTTTCAGTACTTACAGTAACGCGCGTGTGAGAGTGACAAGTACAACACGGACATATGAGCGGACAATACTCGCAACAATATTGTACAATGGATCTGATTGGAATTGCTTTTTCCAGAGACTCTGGAAATAGAACTGTAGTTACGTTGACATTAGTGGATCTGCATATCAGCATATTTCTCGTTCGAGCGATTGCCGTTAGTATTTTTCGTAATTTTTTTTTTTTTAATATTCCTTTACTTTCTGCCTTTTTACTTTGCTTTCTAATATGATAAAAATGTTCGATATTCTTACAATGGTTCTCGTTATGGAAATTGTACCGCGAGACCTTCAGGGGTGTTTGCTACCTCCCACCGTTACGTTTCACAATACATTCTCGTATATTATTTCACGACATAATACACGATCTGATTTCATCTAAATGACTTTTATTCACCGCAAAATGTCACAATCTAAAAGCGGTAGGTCTTTCAATGCTTATTATGTGTTAGAAGGTAGAACTGCTAGTATCTGCTGTAATCTGTGTTAACTACTTTGTATCTGCCAGTTCTACCGGAATTGTACTTCATCCGGAATTTGAATCTGAATGCAATTTAGACCGATCGAGGATAAAGGCGGCACCGAGGCCAGAAAGAAATATACTCCTTTCTTATTCGAGCTATGCACTTGAAGAGAATCTAATTAAAATCTTTGAGGAGAAATAAAAGCGTGCGACGTGGATCGATGAAAATAAATAAGTGACATTTCGTTCGTTCTGAGACAAATAAAAAGAAAAGAAAATTAATTAGAGATAACAAATCCGTCCGAGAGGTAAATTAATTGCCTTTAGACTTTCCTTACTTCTGTAACGGAGAGAAATGTAATCCCGATATGAGGAAAACCTCGGCAAACCTTTCGAGATCCTTCAACATCAGTCAATGCCAGCGACAGGCCCTCGAGATCTGCACGCGTACGCGCGCGGATATAACTTATGTAAAATAAATTCCGATATCTGCAGATGGCATTGAGAGTTGACTGGATTAAAGATTAAAAAGCAACTGCGCTTAGAGCGTGCGCTGGCATTTTCCCGAGTGAGGAAAGTTTTCCTATACGTCCTAGGTAGCTGCCTGCGAGATAGAAAGAGAAAAGGAGAGCGAGAGAGAGAGAGAGAGGGAGGGAGAGAGAGCACAGAGTGGAATATAACTTTTAAAATGTCTGTCACGCGGACTATAATAAGCTTATAATAGAAACAACTTGACATTATTCTAGATAGTGGAGAGGTACGTTCGCGTATATCGGGACATCGATCTTGTTATAAAACTTGAGACACCGGAGTCCGATGAGGGGAGGGGGAAAGGGGGGAGGTGGTGGTTCACAGGCAGCCACGTGTAGGAGAATGCGAGAGAGAGAGAGAGAGAGAGAGAGAGAGAGAGAGAAAGAGAGATAGCAAACATCCCTGTGACCAATTCGCACAAGATGACACGGAAATGCGCGAAGCAGTACTATAGAGCATTAATTATTATACAGTTCGCTCATGTATATCATTAGCCGTGTAAACTATGATAAAAAGTGTTGCTCGATCGACCGCATATATGCAGGACGTGCGGATTGCGTCTTCATCTCAAGTCACCACAGTCACCTGTGCTGCTGCCCGACATCACTGCGATTGCAGTATTCTTTCAGTACACATGTTAGATATATGTATATATACATGGTTTTTTTCTCCGCAACGCGACGTTACTACCGGGGAATAGAACAGGCAAGGAACTGTGCTCCTCTTTCCCTCTTGGGAAGAGAAAATGAAAATGCAACGAATATACGTGGACATTCTTCTCGCGCTCGAACTCCCAGGCCGCGCGCGCAGTACATTGGCTGTTCTAAGCCCCGAGGATCTATACGTATATGTGTGTGTACGATTAAAAAACACGCCTGCCCCGTGTTGCACTTCGACGGTATCCAGTGTGAATTGATCGGTAATCAATTCCCTGTGGTACACGTGTCGGGATATGTAAGGCGAAAAACGCTTCCCCTCCGGCGCGCGCTTATCCCTTATTTTAATAAATTCGCATATTAGAGAGATCCTACAAAGGACGATCCTTACGATCTACGGACAGCTTAACGTCTATGTATGGGTACGGAGCACACCGATTGGCACAGGGTGGAGAAGAAAAAGCGCTAACGAATGAAATGTTCGTGGCGAATCAAACTCACTGGTACATGTATGTGTCTGTCTATGTTCTAAGTTCGTCTAGATTCTACGGGCGAGTAAAAATTTGTAAAAAAATATATATGCTTATCTACATTCGAAACAGCTAATCAGCGATATTCTACACGTCCATTCTTCTACTTGATTTTAAATAAAGGTATTTCTTTACGTATACAATGCGAAGGGATGATCTAATTGTGTAACGTGTTTGTGTATGAGAGACACGGTTCTAAACAAGACAGTGTGCATACGAGTTTACGACCGTGGCAGTAAAGTGAGATACAGACCTTCCCGTTATCAATTCATTACCCTTTATACTGTCGGATTTGATCATTTGTCTGATTCAAGTGGACAGCAAATAGCGCAATCAGGGAAAATGAGGCGAATTAGCGAAAGATGACGTAACAATCTGGCGAGCACATTTCGTGTCTTCACAATTGGATTGTAGAAATACATGCAAAACAGCAAAAATACTGCGTATTAAATTCCAAATTTTGTCACGGCGAAAAAGTGGCGATAAGAAAAATTACTTTATTGTCCTATAAATCTGCTCATTTATTAGTTTTAGTGTTTTATATTTTATGCCTGCTGAGAGAGAAGCAATCAGACTATTTGTGTTTATGCACACAGACTGTTTGATGACATTCTGATTGAATGTGAATATGCATGTGTGAAAAGTAATTAAATATTTAATTATTCATTACAGATATTTGTAGGAGAATTAAACAATTCCGTATGCTGTGTTCAATTCTTGTTTTTTAAATATATTTTAATAAGCAGAAATATCTCATAAATGCATATATGTATAAAAATAACAGAAATAATAATCATTTTATTAGTTCACAATATAAAAATAATTTTGCTACGTTATTAGTACTAATATCAGTATTAATAAGATATTGACAGTAAAAAGTCAATTATATAGTAGTAGATTTATAAGATATCGATTGTAGAAAGTTAATTAGTCTATTAATATAATACTATAGTAAAATTTTTATCAAAAATAATAAAATGAAATAACTATTATGATTTTTATATATGCATTTATGAAATACTTTCACTTATTAAAATATATTAAAAAATAAGGATTAGAAGTTAGTAAAAAATGTCAGGATTGTCTCCACTTTTTGTACTCACATTATTATTGAACATTAATTTTATAGTTTAATAACACTACATCAACTCGGGATGACATGTAACTCCGAGAACATGATTGACTTGTAATCAGCAGGTCCAGGGTTTGATACCGACCCTCATAGGCTCGAGTTAAGAGGTTGATTGAAAGATTAAAGGTTTTAAAGTGATAGAGTCGTATGTGTAAAATGATGACGTTTTCGGGAACGTGTATCAATAAGACAGATAATATCGATTGGAAAAACAGGACTGAGCAAATAAATCGTGCAATCAATGTAAACAGAACTTATGAAATAATAAAATAAATAATCCGAGGAGACATATAAAATAACTGCCAACCTATTACTTTCTCTCTCTATATCGGGATTGAAAAATATCAGCAAAAAATCCGTGTTTATGTGTGTATATATATATATGTACGTGTATATAACAGGATGCATTTATTCTCTGCGCATAGTGCCAACGGTGTGTCATTCACGTTTGGATTCGCTCTGCATTACGGTATAATTACACTCACCGTCGACGAGAGGATCTCATGGGGGCAGCAGGCCAGCAAAAAACTCTTGCAGACCTTCGAGTCGGAGTATTTCACTTGAAATTTGTTATTTTCACCTGCAAGCAAGCCCAAGAGTTAAAAACATCGGTGACAATTTCGACGTTCAGGTAGACAAGTGTATAAAGGGGATAGGGTGCTACAATTGTTAACAAGTATGGCCGCGGTATATCGCGCTACTCGAATGCGGACCCCGCACTCTCGACCTCCGCGCCACTATCACACTACGCGAGACGCGCGTGTCGCCCGTGAAACGGCGAGATAACCGTATGTACCATTTCGTCCTGTGCCCATTAACTGGTCGAGCATAGCTCGCATTTGATCGTGCGCCGTCATTTCTCCGTGCAGATCGGTGTTGTGCACAACCTCTCAAAAAAGGCACGCAGCTCAGAGTAACATCGTGCGGCCACGCCAGCAACACGCCGCTCAATCGCGCACACACACATACGCACACCTCCCGCGATTCCACGCCACACGGCTGCAGACCTATTGCCGCCCCGCGCTCTTGTCGACCGCAGCGCCGCGGCGTAGCCGACAGCGGCGTTTCTACGAGGTGACAGCTGTCCCCATTGGTCGTCCCGCGCTGGACAACTTTAGAACGGCCAATACGATCGCTCGGCGAGCGCGACGAAGCTGCTGCGGATCCGTCCGTCTGTCGATTGGCCGTTGGATAGGGAATTGACTTCGCGACTGTTGAGCGACTCAATCACCATTTTGTCGGCAAGAAGGCAGGATGTTTTTAACGGGTTATAATAGAATAATAGATGTTACGAATCGATCGCGATCATCTGGACGCGATTGTATCAGTTTCTCTTGCTCACGACACGGTAATATTTTATTAGAGTTCGAGGCAAAGATTTATTCTCGGGGAAACAAGAGGCAACTCTTTCTTAATTATAACCTTGATCCATTTGTTTTTCTATAGAATTATTTTTTATAAATGTTATATTCTCTAAAAATGCTATTAATAATATAAAAATTGTAACAATTTAACGGATTTGTAATTCTTTTAGAATTTTGATAATCGATATGAGAGAGGAGAGCGTCAGGATTTATGCCGACAAAGCTCCAACGGTATTTAAACCAAGGGATGCTCAGCGACTTCCAACGCGTTGGAGTGCAATGACCGGCGGCTCTCGTCAAGAGTTTAAATCAAATTATACTTCCGTGTAGAATATTCGATATTAAAACTTGTCTACACCTGCGTGGCTATTATAATCGCAGTACTATTGGTAAATACAAATTTTTCTCTAAATTATAAAATTACCGTATATAGTAATTAATTATCAAAATTGAGATTTTAAAATAAATTCTTTCTTCATATCTCTCGCATTTGTATATGTATAAAATTATGATGCGAAACTAAATTGTGGCATAAGTATTTTCAAATTATTTTGACAATTTTACATATTTATTTTCGCAATTTGCAATTCTTAACATGGGCACGCGGTCGTTTTTATTTTTATGCTTTCGAATAGTCGAACAATAAATCCGAACCGTGATTTATAATTTAATGTATTGCGTAATAATTTCCGAAAACTTATTAAGCTGAGCCGAGCTGAGCGACAGTCGCGATGAGCCGCGCGCGCAGAAAACCGCATGCAGAAAAGAGAGACGGTGCAACCGGACGGTAGCGGAGGTGGTGGCGACGATGGTGGCGGTGGTAGAGGTACCAGGACTCCGCGCTCTCGATCGTGACCTGAGAGCGAGCGAGTAAATGCAGCGGGCAAACGTAAAAGCGAGACCGAGGGATTAACCGGCGCGGCGGAGGAGGTGGAGGCGGAGGAAGAGGAAAGACCTCTCGGTACCGCACGAGCGAAAGCGAGAGGAGGACGGGAGAAGCGGCGAAGACGAAGTAGTAGGTGGATGAAGAGGAGGTGATGGTGGAGGAGGAGGAGGTGGTGGAGAAAAAGACGAAGAAGGAGGAGGAGGAGGAGGTGGTGGCGGCAACGACGTTGGTGGTAGGAGAACCAGCCTCCGCCAGTCCATCCACGTGTTCAGTGTAGTTGCGCGTTATGACCCGGATGTTAGATCGTAGCCGCAGTTTCGCGAGAACCTGCCGACCCGGATGTCCCCCCGCTCGTTGTCCACCAGTGATCGACCACTGATGTCTTCCTGGCCACCGAAATATGTTCAATCGGTAAGTTACGTCCGCGGTCCAGCACCCTCCTCATCGATCGTCGCCGTCGTCGTCGCTGGAGTTGTCGCCCCGTACTTTGGCAAGGGATTATATCACTGGACTCCTCCGAATGTACGATACGATGCGTCGCGTTAAAAATCACTCCTAAGCTCTTTGCGTTGGTCTTCGATCGGAAAAGTAGTAAAAATGATGTTAATCACAAGAAATTGAATGGAGAACCGGTCGCTGATCTTTTTCGCGCCGATTCGGGGGGAGGGTGAGCTTGCGACCGTTGAGCTTACACGACGAACGTCTCGGAGGACTCTTTGCCAAAGTACGAGATGTACGTAATTCCGCAATACTGAAGTGGACAGTGAGTTAGTTTTAGTCAGCGGTTTTAGCGAAATTGTTTTACGAATTACGCGCGACGCGGTCGTACGGCGCGATACGCACGTGCGTGTCGCACGCGCGTGCCGCGGCAAATGACGGTAATGTCAGCGTGTGCTTGAAGGATAGATGCGAGCAAGTCTACGAAAGGCGCCAGCAAACTTCGAAGGGACCTGATAAACGCCGAAATCGCGAATCTACGTGACTTACTGCCGTTACCGCCCTCGACACGCCAGAGGCTTTCCCAGCTGCAGCTTATGGCCTTGGTCTGCGTGTTCCTGCGAAAAGCCAACTACTTTCAGCAAGGTACGGCGAATGGCAAGCTTGCCCACGCCTTCAAATCTTAAAGCTCTCTCTTTCTCTGCTTACATGTCACAGTCGCGAGTGGATTTTTTTCTACTCGGCGAGTATGAACATTTTTGTATGAAAAAACTAGTTATTAAAATATTAATTCGACTTGTAATGTCAAAAATGACGCGCGATGTTTACTGCCGATAGTTTCTCAAGTTCGAAGCTGCGATAAAAAAAAACCATTGAAATGCGAATAGCCGACTGTTGAATGCGATTTTTATTTTTTATCTTTTAACGTGTTGTAAAAAAGTTACTAATATTAGATCTTAAATGTTCACTATATTGACCACGATAAAGATAGTCGTTTAAATATTGGCATTGATATACATTTACAATATTTTATGATACATTGATTATATATTTATGATACAAATTTAATATTAATTTCAGGATAAATATTATTCTCGTGAAACTGTTAGTTAAGTTATTTAAAATGTTAAGTTATTTAAAATGCAGGCTTATCTGCGTTTAACATCGAGGAAATTGATACGATACGCACACGTCGCGTCACACCGAGTTACAACTTATTACTCCATAAAATAAAGAACGGTGATAAAGCGAGTCCATCGGCGTATCACGATTACTATATCTTTACAGTAATTCACATCCATCGGCCGAGACTTCAATGCCGGCAAGCGCTCGTGCCATGCAATTCCCCGCGTCTGTACTCTGATATTTCCAAGCGAGCGCATTGGTACTCGGCGTACTGTTGCCGTACGTAATGATCGGGATACATTGTACGGACCGTCAAACACGCCAAGTTAATGTTATTGTTGCTCAAGGATTATTAATGAAATTTTCATCGTGCTTAAAAATACTCTTGAGCGATCCTGACGAGCGATTCTCGATTAAGTAGACGTAGTTAACATAAGTAACAAACGTAACAAATCTTGCGATCATTGTTGATAACAATAGCCTCTTTTGTTATTTTTAATAGAAAGAAAATATGAAGAGATTAGAATGATTGAAATTGTATTTTAAATGAAGACTCTTTGAAAGTTATCTCAGTAACGCGATGTGAGAAAATTTACTATTATTCCGACAAGGACCACTTGATAAAAAACGATTGAAAGACTATCGATGATTAAAATGTTGACTTAAAAATGGGAATGATTGTAACTTTGTCGATACGCCATTGGTGTTTCATAATTTAATTGATATCTGCCTCGATTAAGAGAAACGTCGTTTTATATCAAGTAACAAGCGAATATAAAAAACATGTAACAAGAGGATGCGAAAAAGCGGAGGCCACAAAATGCCGTTTGATTCTGAATTTTATCTGGCCGATACACGGAAAGCATGTATTATTAATTCGTTAATCGAGTATTCCTTGGTCATCCCTGCGTTATTGCGATTAAACGCTTCAATTCGAGATATTTGCCAAATTTGGAGAATCCGCTTTCGGCCCGCGATCTCTCCTCGCTTCTCTCGTTGGCGGTAATCGGCTGGTGACCCGCTCAAACGATTCGCTCAAAGGAGAATTTCTATTCGGTTGCGGGAGTCGGTCGGGTAACCCGGCTGTAAGCTTCTCGTAGACACAGGGAGAGACGGCGGGGAACGCGGTGTATCCCAGTGGATACCAACAACCAGAGAGAGACTCGCAACAGAGCGGAGAGCAGAGGAGAGGAGAGAAGAGGAGGGGCGAGGGAGGCGAGGCGAGCGCAAAGCAAAGCGAGGCGAAGCGATGCAAGAAGGCAAGATCGGCCGGCGCGCGTTCAAACTCAGCGGAGTCTAAGCGCGAGTTCCGGGTGATCCGCTGACCTGTCGGCCTTTGCAACAACACTCTCACGCTCCTGTAACCCACACTCCTCCTCCCCGCATCGCGTCCCCCTCTCATTCTGTCTCTCTCTTTCTCGCTCCTTTCATCTCTCCCTCTTTATCCCTATCGCTCCTCTGCCGCCCGCCGCAGCTTCCCTTCCTCTCTCGCGCGTTCTTCTCCGTTCTCCTCTCTCCCCCCCTTGTCCCCTCCTATCCTCCCCCTTTCTAGCCGTCTCTCTTTCTCTTTCTCTTCCCTCCCCCCGCTCTCTCTCTCTCTCTCGCGCTCATTGTCTCGCGGTATCGGGTACTATAGTCCCATGTAGCGCCGTTAGTAAACGCTGCCGTGCTGCATTAGCATACGCATTTTTCCTCACCCTTCTCTTTCTCTCCTTCGTCTCGTGGTACATACCTCTTTTCCCCCCTTTACTTTTTCGGGGAAGCCCCGTGCGAGGAGGGTAGCGCGGGCGATCGCGTGAAAAAATACGAGATTGAAATGGATCTCTCTTTTTCTTTCTCTCTCTTTCTTTCTCCCTCACCTTCTTTTCGGTCCGTTGGAAGCCCGCGCGTGCCTCGAGACTATCGCACGTGATTAAGACTCGAGACACAATGCGAGGCGTAAGAACAGCATGCGAAGAACGAGGAATCGATACGCGGTTTAAGAAAATCTAAGATAAGAGGGATAGATCTAGAAAAAAAGTACATTTGAAAAAATATCTTTGAATTTAATTAGCATTCTGACGGAAGGCTGTATTCTGATGACCTCGGCTCGATGATACTTTCCAACCGATCGCTCCGCTATTCTTCCGCTATAAGCCTTCCAGCTGTTTTCTTCGCGTTTTTTCAGATTCGCGTTTTATGTTTCTAGGACATTGATCAGGAATGCGGCTAAAACACCTTTTTTTTTTACAACTTTTTTTTAGTTCGTGATAGAGTTATCAACGTTCGCACATTTCCACGTTGCATAAAATAAAAATAGAAATAACGATTCTCGCCTATCGCACTCTTGTCGACTGTAAAACCATAATACCTGTATACTGATAGCGATTTATTTTTTTTTTTTTGCTTGACGTAAAATGCCGTTTTTTGTTTCTTCAATAAATATTAAAACATTCAACTTTAATCTGTGTTTTGTTTTTAAGTCTTATTTTATCTCGGCAATTTTGATTCTTTTATTTTTTTTTCGTTTCAGCATTGAAAAACTGCCCGTCCGAGACCTCGAATATTCCAACACCTAATATAGGATTCTCAAAAGTAATTATTTTTAATTCATTTATGTTAATCCCTTATAATTATTTTTAAGACGCGATCGGACTTTTTTTGCACATTCATTCGCTATTTACAAATTTTTGCGATACATTACATTTCTTCTAGGCGATGTCCGGCTTTATTATGATGATGACGCAGCAGGGAAAATTGTTATACATATCAGAAAACGCGGCGGATTATCTCGGACATTCTATGGTACAGTAATCCTGCCTAAAAGTGTAACATAAGCAATATACCGTCTGTAAATATTTCGCGCTATAGCAAGGCGAACGTTGTGTCTTAGATAAATCGTGATAAGACGAAAGATTTTCAGGAGGATTTGCTCATTCACGGGGACAGCGTGTACGACGTGATCGACAAGCAGGATCATATGGTCGTGCAAAATCAGTTATCCCGAAACAGTCCCATTCCCAGCGACAGGAGGCTGTTCCTGTGTCGAATCAACGTGTCGAGAAATTCTCGGAGGCAGCTGCGGTTCGGCGATCAAAAGGTGATTAAAAACCGCCGATTAACTTTAAGATATCGTCCACTTACCGCGGATGCCGCGCGTTATTCGCTTCTATTCGCAGGTAATTCTCGTGGAGGGTCACTTCCTGCCGTTCGTACCCGTCTGCAATCGTAACGAATTCGTCTTCCTGGCGTCCTGCACCCCGGTGGTCCTGCCGGAGACCCGAGAGAGCATCGTCCAGGGCGCGACAAATATCTTCACCACGATTCACTCGATGGACATGAAGTACCTGCATATCGATAAAACGTAACGTATAATTCGCCGTTGATAAGTTTAGAAAGTCGGATAGTTCGCAAAGTTCTGTTTTCCTGGATGTCTCTTCTTCCGCAGCGCGGAAAGTCATCTGGAGTACACGCGTGCCGAGCTGGTCAACGTATCGTGGTATAATCTACTTCATTGGGACTCTATAAGAACCGCCTATTGCAAGCATCAAACTGGTACGAAAAATTTTCTTGATATTAACGAAAATCTTTCCTTGGGAGATTCCAGTATAGCTTTACAAAAATTTCTTTCTCTGTATTCTAAAGTGTTCTTTCTTAATTTGTGATTTTAGTTATCCAATCCGATCAGGAACGATCCACCACTGCTTTACTGAAGCTACAGAGCTGTTCCGGAAGGTGGTTCTGGGTCCATTGCGTGCTGCAGGTCAAGGACACCTCCGATGAATGTCAGCATCCTATAATCGTTTGCACGAATCAAGTACTCACGTACGTTTATGATTATTTTAATATCTTCCTTTTAACTAAATTAAAAAATTTTATATTTATTTAATTGATAGATAATATAATTAATTCGAAATAGCTTTTACATCACGCGATATATAATAATTACAGCGACAAGGAGGCAGAAGTAATGCGCTCCAGTTCATGGCTGTACCAGTACTCGTCTCAAACGAAGTTCACTTACGGGCTCTGCCCGAGCGGTCAAGGTCGCGGTGCCGTTTATCCCTCCGCAGGAGCCGTTACCAATCAGGCCCAGGAATACGTTCGAACATATTCCAACGACACCGACGCCCAGCTCTCGCCGTCGCTTCATTCGGACCGGTCCGAGACGGAGTCGCATGGCGCCACGAAGATCGCGCAGTCGACAGATTATCCCAACAGGCGACTTCTACGAGACGACGCGGAGCCAGTGGACATGTCGATAAGCGGCGCGGAGCAACACGAGGGCAGGAGCGTTCAAGGCACGATCTCCGGTCATCAGCAGCACGCCCTGGACGACCCGGTCAGGTACCATCATAAGCAATATCATAAGAGCTCGCTGCATCTGGCCGGCTATCGGGCCAAATTCGCGCAATGCCACGGCACCCAGTACACCAGCGGCTGCGCGGACGTTCTGTCGGTACCTGGCACCAAGTATTACCTTACCGACCTCGACCGGGACTACTGCTGCGGAGCGGAACGGAGCGGCCTGCTGCTGCACAAGCGGCTGCCGACGAAGGCGTTGCTCGCGCCGCCGCCATCCTCGATCGCTACCGCGAACCAGGCCGAAGTGCCGCCGCCGCCCGATTCCACCCCTCTGGAGAACTGGGGCACCAGCCCAGCGTGGTCGGACGCGCTGCAAAGGGTGCCGGACGTGGTGCACCAGGAACTGAGCCCGTATATCACCACGCCGACCACGCCGGTCAACACGCCCGACTCGGACACGCTCGGTCACCCGGAGGCGCCCATCTTTAACTTCGACTGGGCCGGCACCGAGCAACACGTGCCAAACCTGAAGATCACCTTCCATCGCAGCAGCACCGCGGTCACTACTGCCGGCCATCCTGCCGCCCAGCCTAGGAAGCAGCATCAAGATGCGGTGCCGCCTATCACGCTACAGTTACCACGTAGGAAGGGACAGTCCACGGAGAATGACAGCAAGGACTTCCCGAAATGAACTAGGAAATAAGTATAAGTCTGAAGGGGGCCATATACAAGTAAGAGTTTAAGGGGCAGTAAAAGAGTACAAGAGTAGGGAAAACCTGTAGTTTTCCACCTACAGCCTTTTTTTTATAGTAAAAGCGTAGGAAACGTCGAATACCAGTTAGTTTGTTAATAAAAAGTAAAGTTTTCATATAAGAATCTAGAAAAGAAATTAAAAACGAAGGTAAGAACTAGTTATCTATGGATTAGGAGGAATTGTGTGAATGTAATTGAGGGAGCGTTAAAAGAATTAAATGTAAAAGGAACGGTGTCGTGCTTACATATATCTCTTTGTCACAGACAACGGAGTATATTCTTCCAAACTCTATCGCGTTACACAATTTTCTACACGCTCGTTCGTCTTCTCTCTCTCTCTCTCTCTCTCTCTCTCTCTCTCTCTCGCTTTTTCTTTTTTTTTTCTTTTTATCTTCACGTCTCTGTCTCTTTGGCATCTTATACGTTACTCTCGAATCGTAAATTCTTCATTAATATAAAACACGTATATAAACATAGACTGATTACATCGGTGTTTACAATAATCTACGATTAAAAAAAGTCGTACATCATTTCGTTTATCTCCGGTATACTCTTTTATGCGAGAACATTCGTTTTGAGATAAATAGCACGCATCGTACGCGTATATTCCAAGTGTATATATATTTATATTATATATATTACATATATAATATATTGCGTATATTATATATACAATATATATATTACATATATTATATATATAACTATGTATGAATGTGCAGTGTCGTAAGAGGGTACCCAGGTACATGCGCTATATATGTTTGAGATTTCCTTTGAAAATACCTAAATCTTACGTTTAACACACGATCGTGAAATATATTCGCTTTGTACATTTCAACGCATTCGACGAAGGAGAGAGTTTCTTTTTTTTTTCTTTCCTCGGCGCAACGTCTTGCGCGTTACATTACGTCTCGACGTGATGTACTACAAAGGAAACAGGTAAATAAAGAGAGGCAGTTAATCGTTTATAGCAGTAGCAGCAGCAGCTTCAGCCAGTTTTTTCGTCCAGTCGTATTTTAGCATTATTTTACCCTCACGTTATCAACACCCTCGTTCGGAGGGACCCACACCGACCGGAAGTCGATCGTGCCCGTAAGAGCCCACAGATTCGTATCGCGACTAATACACGCTCTTTGTTACGTCTTAGTACGGATCTTTTATAATAAATATCGAAATAAATACCCCGCAGAGCGTATCTCTGATGCGAAGCCGAACTTTGAAGATATGTTCCGGTGCTGGAATGAAAAGAATAAATAAAGTGTTTGCGTAAGAGCATTAAATGGGAAAATGCTTTTTCACGGATCTTTGAGTAACGTTTCTTCCGAGCTGCCTCGGGGCTTCAACGTGCGACGACAGTTATAGAATATATCCCCAAAGTTACGATGTTTCTGACTCACTCCTTTCGGAAAAAAAAAACACGCAAGTCTTTATTACAACACGACAACCATACACTCGCTCCTTTATTTTAAATACCGCAAGCAGTTCTTGCCGTACTAAATGCCACATTAATATAGTCTTACACTTTAACGTTTACTTTCCGACAAATATAATATACAATTTTTTTTTTTTTCATTTCGTTTGGATCGAAAAAGCAAAACGAATCCTTCAATCCCTCTGTGCGTTCATCTCTTGAATAAATCTCTCCCATAAAGACATGTTCTTCTTTCTTTTAAAAATTCACGCAGTCTCCCCGACATATTCCTGATCTCCAAATTTTATTCTATCTGCGCCAAAATATCAAAGTGTGAAGTTTCGAAGTCTTTGAAACGTATCGTCAACTCTTTCGCAAATTGCTACAATAATTTTTCTCAGAAACGCGGTTCTCGAAAATCTCGAACTCCCTCCGTACTTCAATGCTTGTGCTTCGCGAAATCGCGAATTCGACAGAAAGCGCTATTTAAGCCTAAAAATTCTCGCTTCGAAATGTTTTCGCGTTTCAACGTCTCTCGACATCTCTTGCGTTACAAAGAATACAATGCAAGCGCAACGAAAACGTCGAACGTCATTAATGCTCTTGTATCACCCGTCTCATTCGCGTTTACCGTTTCGCTTTTTTTTTTTTTTAGTAATCGACGCGATTCGTCAAGGTTCGCGTCGTGCAAGATCGAATCGCGCGAGATCGACTATAAAGGTAAAAAAATATCACCGAGTCTTACGCTACTTCCTTCCCCGTATGTTCGGCGGCGCTCAAAAATGCCAGAAAACGCGAGAGATTATACGGATATAATATACGGATACGTGTTTCTTTTTTCTTTTTTTTTAGATATATGTTTCCTCACGTGTGACATTCCGCATTTACCTCCTTCGCTAAAGATTTACGGCTAATAAACGATAATTACATGCTTATAATATCTTAATTATTATCGCGGGAGGTCCTTCTTGAAAATTCTTTAACACATATCTATGAGAGGAAAAATGCTTTTAAATTCGTTTCATAAAACAGCTCGCTTACTTTGTCGCACCTCATCGGGAAACAGAAATCGTGCGTCTTTTTTTTTATCAGTGTAATCGCTCGCGTAACGGTCTCCAAATCGATCAGCGCGAATCCTCGTATCAAAAGTACCCGAATAACAGATACTCCGAATAATAGATATCGAAATCATTGGTTAATTGTACCCGTTAATTTACGCTGCCGATACGTAACTACCGTCGCGTTCACCCGATGTACCTAGGTTCGTTTTCAACGCTTTTTTTTCTGCCGTCGAGTTCCCACCTCGCCGATTTACACGTTACGGGACATCCAGCCGAGAATCTCGCGATCTCTTCTCGCACGCGAATCGCCGCGGATGACGCGAGAGGAGGTGCGCGTGACTTTCGACGGGCTTTCTCTCACACCCCCCGTAAATGCATCCCCGCGAGGTGCGTGGACTATCCGCGACACTGCACCGTGTATATAATGTGTATGCTGATCGCGCGAGAGTGCGTGTTTTTTTAGTGTGCGTGGGTATTTTTGTACAAGGTACAAACGCACGCGTGCCGACGCGTACATAGGAACGTAGCTGTCGTACTTCTCCGAGCAGCGATTATGTTTCTTTTGCTTCTCTCGAGTGGCGCGGGTGAACGACACGAGTGTGGCGAAGGTACGAAAGCGCGAATCCTCGAACTCCTCTCGCTACCGCAGGTGGAAATTATTAGCCGTGAGAATCAGTTTTCGACTTTAACATTCACGTGTGTGACTAGCGTAAAAACGAAAGAGGAAGAGCTACCAGAAAAAGTACACTTATGTAAAAAGATTGCGTGATTCTTCTTGCTACATGTTAAATCGAGATGCGCGAGGTATTTTAATTGGATGAAATTTTAATTAATAAATGCAAGTCGCAGGGATGGGAATGAAGAGCTCGCAGTCTTGAGGTCACTATAGGCATGTCGGCGCGCGTACGGTTGACTTTGATTACTTTACGAGCCTTCGATCGCTAAAAGTCGTGTATCGCTCGACACAGTGCTCTTATCTTATTTGTTATTTTATTTAATCTTTTTTTTTAATTCTTTATTAACTATATATTTCATCGGTATTTCGTTTCTCAATAGCATCGAGAGTGCGCTACGACATTCCTACCTCTCGCTCCGCCTTGTCTCTCTTTCTCTCACGTCGTATAATCTTGGTATAATCTTTTAAAGCTTCGTTTGGCACGTATAATTAGAATGTTATTTTAGTTTTACGGAAGAATTCGATTTAGCGTTAAATCTCCCGCTCTCCTTTCCCTACCTTCTCCTCTCTCTCTCTCTCTCTCTCGTTTTCCTAATCGCTAATTATCCTCCCCTACTCCGCTGATCGTCTCAACCCGCATCATCGAATTCTCTGTTCCTACCTCCTTCCATCTTGACCCCCCTTTCCCCAGCATTATTACATTTAAACACATTCATTTACAGTTTTACACTTCGCTACGTCGTTTAAAATTTACATCGAGTATTTGCATCGCCCGTCGCGACTCTGCGCGACGTACAGAAGATTATCGTTATCCTTTCAATATTATTTTCTTTTTTTTTTTTTTAAATAGGTTCTTGTGCGACTTAGCTTTTTTTTCCCTCGTCTACTCTCCCCGTTGCCGCCATCGTCGCCGCTCCCTTTCTTCCTCCTTCCTCGAAAGAAAAGCTCCCGGGAGTAGCCTCCGGTACCGACGACGACGATCGCATCGGGGAGGGAAGGTAACCGGTACACCTCGATCCCGAGGGGCACCGGACACGCAATATAATTCCGAACTCGCGCGATACGCGTAGGTATCCGCGCGACGCTCGGATAGAGAAGATATTAATGAACGTTATATTCATGGCAGTATCCACATCGCGTTACCTCTCTGCGAAACTCGGAGACCCGCGGAGCTGCGCGCGTTTTGACTAGTATATACGTCGTCGGCCGGCCACGCGCTTCCCGTCCCGACGCGAACGAATCCGCGCATCCTCCTTTTCCCTCCTCTCGACCCTCCCCCCAATTTCCCAAGTCACCGACGTGACATCCATGTCACCCACGTTCCACGTCGGTTTTCATTTAGAGTGAACAAAATTCGATAGAACGATCGTTCCGATCGGACGACCGTTCGAGATATTGAAATAATAATCAAGCTGAGAACCCCCGGTTTCCCCAAGATTCCCCGCGACTCAAAAAAGCTTAAGAACCACTGCCTCATTAAATATTCACGCGTCTCGATATAGACGATCGATATCAGTGCCGTCGAAATTCGAGATTATCCGAGAATATTATGAACAAACAAATCGTCCCCTGCGTTCTTTGGCGAGGAGGGTGGAGGGACGGTTTCGTTCGCGTACCGCCCGGTGTCACATCGTTAACCCCCCGACAAGGATGATCCCGATCAGTTCGTGATTAATATTCTTTTTATGCGTAAATGGACACCAATGCAATTACGGAATGATACAATTACGTTCGAGAGAGCGTTAAACTCCGACATTACGTCGGGGGATAACCGAGTTATCCGCGTAATTATATACTGACGATTAATAGAATTTCCAATGAAAAAAAAAAAAAAAAAAATGCGCGCGCGATCGGTCGGCGCGCGGAAACTACGCGGTCGTCGAGGGGTTAATCTCTTGTCCCGTTCGGTGATTTGGTAGAGGATTCGCTCGGATGAAAACCCGGTTGGTAGCCTCTCTGCTCCCGTGTGACGACGGCATGAGCGACCGATTGAACGTCGCGCGCGGTCCGGCGGTCCGGAGGGTGGGCCCGAAGGAGTGCGTGGCCCGAGCGACCGGACGTATCCGTAACGACGAGCGATATCGTTAGGAACAGAGTGGCTTGGCAGTCGCGTGCGCCAAACTCATTTCGCGGCAGGTCGTCCGGTCTCCTCGCTTCCGCTTCTTCGTGCGCTCTGAGAAACGCGTAAAACGGAGGAAAAGTAAACGGCGATATAACAATAATAATAGTAATGGTAATAATAGTTAATAATAGTAATAATAATAATACAGCGTTGCTTCGGTGTATGCATGTGTGTGTGTGTGTGTGTGTGTGTGTGTGTGTGTATGAGTTTTTGTGCGCGTGTGTATGTGTGCACGCGCGCGCGCGAGCGCGTGGTCGTTGACTCCCAATTCTGTAGTGTGCTGATATCGGAAGCGCGAGGAGGGGAGCTGCCCGCCCTCCCCGATGCGAAAAGGTCGAAGCGCGCATCGTCGGGTTACTGATATCCACCCCGGTCGACCGCGGTGCCGCGGTTCCTGCTGTGCCACTTACACTTGAGAATCCTCACGTAGGTTCGGCGGAAGGCCGCGTTGCACAGCGCGTAGCACATCGGGTTCACAGTACTGTTGATGTAGCAAAGGTAATAAAAAAAGTCCCACAGGTGTTGGGGTATGTACCACGAGCAGGCGGTGATGGACTTGAGGAGCACCAGGATGTTGTACGGGGTCCAGGTGATGATGAACGCAAGCAGGATAGCCGACAGCGTTTTCGCGGCCTTCCGATCGGCCTTCTTCTCCTGCAGCTTCTTCTTCTTCTTGTTCGGCTGCTTGTTCAGTATGCCCTTGCCCGTCGTCAGGACCTTCGGTATGTTCTTCGCGTTCAGCGGTATCCTGATGTCCGGCATCTGCGACGGCCGCCTCGTCACCGTCGACGGGCTCGACACGGAGCCGCCGCCGAGGCGGAAGATCTTGCTGGCGCTGCTGCCGCTGCCGCCGCCGAGGCTACCGCCGCCGACGCCGCCACCACCGCCGTCGTCGCTATCCTCCATCATGCTGTGCAACTGGATCGACACGGACTCATCGTGGATCATCTTTATGCTCGTCCCCTCGCTGTATTTCCCGCCGTTACTCGGCAATTTGATCAGAATCGTATAAATCTGGAAGCGGAGGAGACACGCGCAAACATAATACAGATCCTCGAGTAATAAGCCGCAAATCGATTCAATCGCAATCTCGAAGATGACAAAATAATATGTAATTTTACTAGAATTCTAATGGCCGCGTGTAATATTGATTCCTCTCGAAAGCACAATAAAAGACAGTTTGAATTTTAACCCACTGTTCCTTTTCAATTTAATTTTTATATCAAAAGATATTATTTTTCTCAAATAGAAACAAATAGGAGCGCCACATACAGTATCGCTGGAGATAGTCTTGAGGTCGACCGGCCGCGTCGGCCTTTTGTACTCGTGCTGCATCACGGTCTTGTCCAGGGCGATCCCCGTGGCCTGTATCGCGCTGAGGGAGGGACACCGCGAGACCGTGCTGGGAAGCGGCGTCTCGGCCGACAGCGGCGTGAGCGTGTCCTCGTAGCCGGCCCCGGTGCGGCTGCTCTCCGGCCCGGCGATATCCTCGTCGTCGTCCTCGTCGTCCCGGCCGCTGTGCCACCACGCGATGCACCACATCTTCAGCCAGGTCCAGGAGAACGGCCTGTGCTGCACGCCCGAAAAGCGGAAATGGATAAGATCCTTCGTAGCCGCGGCGACGGTCTAATCGCGATTGCACCCGCAAACGTAACTTTGCATCGTAACGTAATATCGTAATCCTTTCTGATTTTTTTTTTCAATCGATAGTTAAATGCAAAGAGGTGTGAGATCCTATGAGATTTGAAAAGTAACGACGATTGCTATTGATCCTGAGTTGTGCGAGTTGTATATACAAAGTTTCAATTATCAAATTACCACGACATTCGTCAAAGACGAGGAAATTGGGAACACGTGCAAAGTTATTCCCCCTTCGCGTTCGCTTTCGCGCGCACGACTGTTACTTACGCTCTTGTATTGCGGATAGTGCTTATCAATGTAGGAAACGGCGATGTGCGTGGCGTGCGAGACGTCGTCGGCGGTGCTCGACTCGCTTCGCTGTCTTTTGCAATCCTCCATATCTAAAGCCTCGTCGCTACAGGGAAAAATATGGCAATAAGCACGTCGAACCGCACCTCGGGTTCTTTCGACCTCGCGATGTTCGCAAAGCGCGATCGCTCGCGTTGTCAAAAGAAGCATCACGTTACGCGGGGAAAAAAATACTTTTATCAGATTAAAATTAAACAAATAGAAAATATTTTAACAACGAGATTTGCAAATCTCGAAAAAATATTTTTATAAAGATTTTAAACAAATATTATAGAATAACAGGAAGTATCAAAGTAATCATAAAGGGATGTACAGTTCGATTTAATATCCAAGGGAGGAAACAAAGTATGCGACATATATATAATAATATTTTTCTTTACGTAAGGAAGAAATTAATTAATTGATTTAACACAATACGTGTCAAATGCGGTCATTCAACTGGTGCATCTGTGCCCTAGATTAAGGGAAGGGCTGATCTTCCAAAAAGGGCATTGTGTTACCATCTCTCTTGTGCAGGGGGTTGCATTTTTTTTTGGTGACGTGCTGACGACAAATTCGGAGAGAGAAACAATTGAAAGCGTTAGTTACCACCTCGAGTTGCTGCGCTTGCTCGTGTCTTGCTTGCCGGCCTGCAAGTTCGGCAGATCCTTCTGACGTTTCTTCGTCTCCAGCCAGATCCGCCAGTAAAGGAATATCATTATCATGACAGGAACATAAAACGCGGCGATGGCCGTGCCGAAGGTGATGTAGTGGTTCGTCTCGATGAATTGGATGTAGCACGCGCTCTTCGGCACGGTCCTTTGACCCTCGATGTATGGCCACGCGTAGATCCAGGGCGGCCAAAGAAGCAGCGATATACCCCAAGCGGATCCTGAAACGATCATCGTCGCGTCTGGATTATTATTTTTCAACAAACAAATATGGCTGTTTCGCAAATATTTATCGCGAATATGGCTATTTATCATAAATATTTACCTCAAATATGGCTATTTATCACGAAATTAGACTTATAATTGTATATTATTAAATTAATAATTTTATATATTATAATATTAATAATTAATAATGTTACGAGTTGTAATAATATTAATTTAGACTTGAAGCATATTGAAGAATAATTTATATAAAAATAATTATTATAAAAACAATATATATATATAATTTTTTATTATACATTGAAACCTTGTAAAAAAATTACTTAAAAATGTTCTGATTCTTCAGATTAAATCGGAGCAGTTTTAAATCGCAAATTAAAAGCAAAATCTTCGAAGAAACAATTTCGACAAAAGTTTTTTGAGTCTCGACAAAATTCTCCGGAAATTCCTTGATTTTTTCAAACAGAAAAAGAATCCGTGAAAATTCCAGACTTCCCAGATTTTTAAAATATCTCATCGCATTTCATTGATTTGTTACTCACCGATCATAACGGCGGCTTTGATGGTGGTCCTCTTGGCCCGATAGGTGAGTGGACGCGTGACGGAGAAATATCTGTCGAAGCTGATGATGAGCAGATTGAGGACCGATGCGTTACTCGCGAGATAGTCGAGCGCGAGCCACGTGTCGCATACGTGGGGCCCGAGCGGCCAGTAACCGAGCACCGTGTACAGCGTAAAGAGGGGCATGGAGATTAGGCCGATCGCAAAGTCGGCCACCGCCAGGCTGAAGAGGAAATAGTTGGAGATCGTCTGTAACTGCTTGTCAATCCTGAACGATATCATGACCATCATGTTGCCGACAACCGTGGTGAGACTGAGAACGACGGCGACCACCACTATCATCACACGCTCCCATACCGTGTATTGATGGGGCTCACCGCCGCAGTCAAGACCGTTGCTGATGTTGAAACTGTCATTGCCGGGTATCTCCACCATCGGAGTAACGTTCATGTCTGACGGACTATCTCTCGTCCTCTCCCTATCTCTCTTTCTCTCTCTCTTCCCTCTCTTTCTTTCGCTCTCCTTATTTCGTTAATTCGAAATGTCGTCCCCCAGGTGCCTTATCGTATCCTCGTTCCGGCGCTCCGCGTCCGATTCGCGTTACCGGTTCGCGCGGGCGATCGCGCGTCCTCTGACTCCGCCGCGAACGGATCCCTGCAGGAGCTCTCGACTCGAATCCCGATCCTCGGGGCACCACCGCCGGTCCCGCCGCGTTGCCCGCCTCACCCTCGCCCGGCCTCTCGCGTACCCCTTTACCATGCGCGCGGCGGGTACGCCGACGGAGAGCGCGTTCGCCCACGCGGCCGTGCGCGCGCACGCACGCCCGCCCGCACGCACGCACGTACGTACGCACGCACGCACGTACGCGCGAACGCGCGAACGCCACGCTTCCGGTATCCCTCGTCGCCGGACACCGGGATTCGGCGAACGGCACCACCTTCACCGAAACACTACCGTCGCGATCTCTTCCCTTCTCCTCCTCCTCCTCCTCCTCCACGTCCTCGTCCGTATATCCTCTCCTTTTTCCACCGGAAAAACAACCCGCGGCGTATCCTGACACGTGTATCGGACCGCGCGCGCATTCGCCCTATAAGGTCGGCGGAATAACTTTCCGCGCGAGGCTTTCAATAATTCATGCCACGTGCCACCGCCGCCGGAGATTCCGCGGCGAGAAGTACGCAACAGAAAATTGATCCTATATCGGAGAAAAAGAAAGTTGCAGCTCCAACGCAGGAATAATCAGTAATCTCATCTTAATTCCCTAAGACACGGAAGATTCTGGCCCGATGCGGAAATTAATGAATTTGTTCGTTTCATGCAGCATGCTAATGTGAGCTGCATGATCGTTCGCAAATAAACGTGACTTCTCTCTCCCGTCGGTGAAGTTCGAGCCCTGCATCGCGAAGTTCCTCCCCCCCCCCACCCTCCTTCGGTTCGATTTTTACCGCGAACGAGATACCCACGAGTAAGCCAATTTTACAGGCGCAGCGCGATAGGATGGGGTGATATTGCCGAATCAGGGGGAAGTGTTTGCGCTAAATTAATTTCGGGTCAGGCGCGAGCAAAGACACGTATAACGTGTGTGTAGTGAACAAAGTGAAACAAAATTGAATCACGGATCGAAAGTGCGGACCTGTGAAGGGGAAGGGGGAGAAGGGGGGGACAAGGATGAGTGCACCGGGACGAGGGGGGGGAGCAGAACTAACGCACGCGAGGCTGTGTTAAAGCACCGCGGTTCGGATAATTTAAGTAAATATTTCGTGATATAAATGAAAGGCACGTGAGCCAGATACTGATTAAACATTAAAATT